AGAACCAGGGAGCCTCCTTATTTATTGCTAACCACACATCATATCACTTTAGGGGGATACATCACAGCATCATGCATCACAGAGAGGGGCAATACAATTCACAACAACCTGCGTCATAGGGAGGGATTGCAACATAGGCAATACAAGCAATAGGAGGGGGATGACCTAGTCATCTTAAGAGTGGTCCCGGGCTTGCCTTTGGGCACTGCTTCAAGGGAACAATGTCAGAAGGGAATGGGCCCTATTTGGGGTGAGTCAGACTATACAGTCTGGCCGCTCTAGATGGCTGATGTTAAGGAGAATAACCTCTGACCTACTTTCGCTGACCACTTAATGTACAGTCATTCTCAAGTAGCTAAGTCTGGTACATGTTACTGGCGAGACAGCTTAAGAGAAATCCTTCTGTTCCCCACATTTAGCAAGCGTGGATAGAAGCAGAAAGCAAAATTGATTTTATTATTTTTTAGACTTGGTGAGCATGATAGGGTGCTGCATTGATTACAACAGACTAGTTAATAAAATAAAAATAGTAATATCCTGGTTACAACATCAAAATGAACAGTATTATTAACTACAACGTTCTGATCTTGAGAACATAAGGGTACATTCTAAAGCCAATCCACTAGTGGGACTTTCTGAGATGGGTGCGGAAGGAGGCAGGTCATTCAGCAGTCAACAAGATGGCGTTACAGTGGCTAGTGCTAGTCTGCCTCATTCCCTGATGTTTTTCTTTGGGAATCAAACATTGATTCATCCGCAACTTTTTCTGGAGTTGGGGCTGTATATGGAGTTTTTAATATCATAAGCTTAACAGCCCGTAGACAGCTTTGGATGACATCCCAGTTTTGTTTGCATAAAACATTTTTCTTTAAGGGCAGTACATAGTTTATCTTGTTTAAGGAAAAACAAGTTATTCTGTAAGGCTACTTCAGCTAAGGACTTAAATTTGTTCTGAAATTTTAAAATGGTGGCTTTTAATCTATTAATGTATGCATTCATTATACTGGAAAGGCCTTTCAAGCCATGACTCTGGGTGATGAGTACAGTGATACCTGTGGGCTGTAGAACCTGCAATCCCTAGTTGTTAAACAGCTAAGTAGACAAGCAGGTGGTATAGCTAAAAGAGCAAGAAAACCATGTTTCTCCTCCAACTCCAGGGCTCTGGCTACATCAGCATAGCTCCATGTGGCTTGTCAGCAGAGAGAATGTGTGTCCCACCTCCAGGGAGGAAGACAGGAGTTCCCAGAATCCTCAGGAGAAGGCCATGCCCACACAGAGACATTATTGGCTATGACCTGATTGACAGGCTAAACTCCACCCCTTTGCAAGTTGACAGATTATGTTACTGCCACACCAGTGGATGTGACCTGCGGGTTGGAATAGGTGCACAGATAGGCTGGTTGCCTGCCTCAAAAATTTGTGGCGTTGGTGCAGGACAATATGTCAGGTTTGTAAGGACTTAACACTATTCTAATGATGAATCTTTGCCTGCAGGTGACACCCTCACACAACTTTTAGCCACATGCAATTTTCAAAACAAGGACAATAGTTCTAACAAGATAAAACTAAAATACATACAATTTGAAATGTACCATCATGCTAACAAGCACATACGTTTATTATTGATCAAAGAACAAAAAGTCGTATTACTGTGAGTGAGGGGCGTGCAGAGTAGAGACCCAAAGCCCATCTGTAGGCAACTGGACATCCCCTTACAGAAGGGTTGCAGGGAGGAGAGGAGCCAGTCAGGGTGCAGTGTAGCACTGATGAAACATACAACTTTCCTCTAGTTCTTAAATGCTTCCTCCACCCACCTTCATGATCCCAATTCTACCCTACAAATCCGTCTAGACCAGAGGATGTACACTGGTACAAATAAGAGCTGGAAACACAGGGAATCCGGGACAGAAAAACCTCTCAGGACTAATAATGAGAGTAGTGATACCAGGAGGGGAAGGGGAAGGTCAGGGAGAATGGGGAACCAATCACAATGATCTACATATAACCCCCTCCCTGGGGGACGGACAACAGAAAAGTAGGTGAAGGGAGACATCGGTCAGTGTAAGACATGATAAAATAATAATAATTTATAAATTATCAAGGGTTTGTGAGGGAGGGGGGTTAGGGAGGAGGAAAAATGAGGAGCTGATACCAAGGGCTCAAATAGAAAGAAAATGTCTTGAGAATGATGATGGCTACAAATGTACTTGACACAGTGGATGGATGGATGGATGGATTGTGATGAGTTGTACGAGCCCCCAATAAAATGATTTTTTAAGTTTATTGTTTTTTTCTTTTTTTATTAATTAGTCATTTGATTGGAGGCTCTTACACATATAACAGTCCTTACAACCATTATATTAAGTGGATATGTACAAATATTGGCATCAACTATTTCAAAACATTATCTTTCCTCTTAAGCCCCTTGATATATTTGCTTAATGTTTTAACCTTTCATTGTGAATTAGGTGGGGGTTTACACATCAGATAATCATGTTTGTATTCTACAACTTTAACAAGTTATCAACCCTTCCGATAACTTGCCCTACCTCCCTTGTCCCCATCTTCTTTTAGTCAGAGCATTTCTTCATATTCACCAAATTAGCACCTATGCATCTAATATCCTCCTATTACTTCCCTTTCTCTCTCCCCTTGCACCCCTGGGAATCATCCGTTTGCTTCTTTCAGTATGACCATCTTTATCTGAATGATTTTTTAAAAATTTTATTTTATTGGGGGCTCTTACACCTTTTATCACAATTTTTTTTTGTCTTCCACCAACCACTGTCTCTTTTCACCCACTTTTTTTCTGCTATCCATCCCCCTGGGAGGGGGGCCATGTCGATTATTGTGATCCGTTACCCCTTTCGTCCCCCACCCTCTTCCCTTACCCTCCTAGTATTGCTGCTCCCCTTATTGGTCCTGAGGGGGCAGGGGCATCTGTTCTGGATTTCCTGTGTTGCAAGCTCTTATCTGTTCCAGTGCTCATGCTGTGGTCTAGCCAGATTTGTAGATGGAATTTGTAAGATAGCTATCAGTTCCTCTTTTTCCCCTCCCTCCCCCACCCTGCCACCCTCACAAAAGCTTAATGTGTTATGTATTGTTATGTATACATATCTTACACTGCTCATTCTGTCCATTCACCTACAATCCCAGTGTTCATCCCCCTCGAGGGGGGTTATTTCACCACCATTGCTATTAGTTTCCCTTTCCCCCACCCCACCCACCACCCTCCTGAAGTCCTTACTCCCGTTACTGTTTCTGAGGGCTTTGTCTATCCTGAATTCCATAAATTGAAAGCTCTAGTCTGTACTGATATATGTACCCTGGTCTAGCTGGATTTGCAAGGTAGGACTGAGATCAATAATAGTGGGGGGAGGAAGGAGTAAGGACCTAGAGAAGTGTTGTGTGTTTTTGTCGGTGCTGTATTGCCCCCTGGATGTATCTTCTCTTCCGTGTGGCCCCTCTGTGCTGAAAATGATGATAACATATGCACAAATATGCTTGATACAAGTGATGTACAATTGATACACTTGATATAAGAGCTGTAGGAACCCTCAACAAAATGATTCGTTAAAAAAAAAAAAAAGACTGCTGGAAAGCTGAAGGCGGGGCCCATCTAGTCTCTTCCCACCCTGACCACAGCTGTCTTGAGGCTAACCACTCACCAATGCACACATCCTCTCTGCCCCAGCTAAACTCAACACTCGTCATTTCTATACCATAGACTACCTTTCCTCTGCCTGTTCCGTCACTCAACCCACTTCCTCTTTGTGCCGCATGGTCTCTTCCTCCTCTGAGTCTGCCCCAAATCCTGTCAAGCCTTCCAGCTTTGACTCGGTCTTCCCTTCCTCCACACCAGGCTAAGTATCAGCAGCTCACATTGGCCGGCACCACATACAGTCATGAAGACACTCTCATCTCATCCTCGGAATGACCCTGTGAGGTGGACCAGGGGAGGGGAGGCTTCCCCCGCCCATTTTGTCTGCTTGCAAAGCATGCGTCTTCACCGTGAGTCACAGGCAGTGGCGAGCAAGCCTGGCCCTGAATCAAAACCCTGGTCCAGTATCACTGCCTCTCCACTCTTATTAGTGAACAAAACACACAAAGAAAACAGAAAAAACCTTGGCACTCTTCTGTTTGGGGTCTGGAGGTTCACTGACGCTTGGTGTTAATAAAAATAATATAATCCAAAGACAAAATAGTGGCAAAAGTAAACAGAGGCCCCGTGCTGTGCTATCGTTAGGTGCTATCAACTTGGTTCCAACCCAGAGCAACCCTCTGCACAGCAGAGCGACCCTCTGCACAGCAGAGCAGAGTACCGCAGAGCGGAGCACTGCAGAGCGACCCTCTCACAGCAGAGCAGAGTACCGCAGAGCGGAGCACAGCAGAGCGACCCTCTGCACAGCAGAGCGGAGCACAGCAGAGCGACCCTCTGCACAGCAGAGCGACCCTCTCACAGCAGAGCGACCCTCTGCACAGCAGAGCGGAGCACAGCAGAGCGACCCTCTCACAGCAGAGCAGAGTACAGCAGAGCGGAGCACAGCAGAGCGACCCTCTGCACAGCAAAGCGACCCTCTGCACAGCAGAGCGGAGCACAGCAGAGCGGAGCACAGCAGAGCGACCCTCTGCACAGCAGAGCGGAGCACAGCAGAGCGGAGCACTGCTCAGTCCTGCGCCAGCCTCACAGTTGTCCCTCTGCTTGAGGCCAGTGTTGCAATCACCGTGTCAACCCATCCTGTTGAGTGCCTTCCTCTTTCTCACTGTCCCTCGATTTTACCAGTATGACGTCCTCCTCCAGAGACTGGTCTCTCCTGACAGCATGTCCAAAGCACATGAGACAAAGTCTCACCATAAAGCCTATTTTAAGAGTTGATTTTTTAAGTCATTTTATAGGGGGCTCGTACAACTCTAATCACAATCCATACATATATCCATTGTGTGTCAAGCATATTTGTACATCTGTTGCCCTCATCAGTCTCAAAACATTTGCTTTCTACTTGAGCCCATGGTATCAGCTCCTCATTTTTCCCCTTCCTCCCCGCTCCCCGATTTTTTTTTATGAACCAAATGATTCGTATTTTCATCATGACAAACAGATGAGATGAGGCAAAATGTATGGCCATGCTAGAGCTTGAGGCTCCTTCGAGAGCCTCGTGGTACTGGACCTGCTTCACCAAACCCCAGAGCTACTGACTGCTGTTGACCCACCTGCTGTTTGCTGCCTGCCTTGCCTGAGGGAGGACTCGGCTGCCTGCTTCCTTGATTTTGGACCTGGCAGCCCCGTGAGTTGAAGGATGTCCTATATATTAACTGAGTTGTCCAGGGACACTGCTGGGAAAACCCCAGGGTTTTCTGGATAGGCAACCGATAGATAAGGGAAGACAGAATTCAAAGCAGGGCCCTTTCACAGTCAAAAGTTGAGAGGATGAGTTTCTTTCTCAGTGTGTGCTGCAGCCATACAGAGTACTTCTCCTGAGCAGAAACTTTACTGTTCCAATCATACACTTTCCCGAAGAGCTCAATGTGGAGATCCAGGAGTGGGCATTTTCTAGAAGGAAAGAGAAAGATAAGAACAAATACCATGTAAATATGTATTAAAAGACAGATTGTCATTTGGGTTCAATGAGCCTATAAATGAGAACCTGCTTTCAAACGATTCCTTTCTAAGCATCCTACATGATGCTTAGTGAATGAGCTCAGTCTGCCCAGTGACCACAGTTCTCTTCTCCAGATTGACCCCAGGAACACATCAGCCAGACAATAGCCCACCTGGGTCACCTACACAAATTCAGGATGCCGCCAAAAGTTAATAATAGTTTTAGCACATAGAGTACTTGTCTTGAGGGGACTGAGCTGCCCCTGCTGCTACGCTCCCATTCCTTCTGCTGAGCCACCACTGAGAAAAGGTAGTGGTAAATGAGTACGAGATTTATCCCTGGGCCGCTCAGAGCCACAGCCCAGCATACATTTCCCGTGTGTCCTAGAAGCATCCTCTGGATTATAATGAGGGAGAACCTGAAAAGGCACAGCTGGCCTCACACTTGAGGTACACTGGATCAAAACTCAGCTGGAGGGAAACTAAATCACCAAGATATCCACAAGAAAAGTGTCCTTGCCAAAAAAACAAAACAACAACAACAAAAAACACTGATAGGATTGACACAGCAAAGACCACAGACCTCACTACTCAGAGACCACTGTTTGGGGCCAAGCTGGGGTGGGGAGCCTTCAGTGTGGGTGAGAACTCATGGAAGCAGGCACCCTTGTGGGAACCTAGCCTAATCTGGTAAGATGCATCAAAGGCTATGAACGTGTCAGATTCAACGCTGAGGGGCACTGAGCTTCTGTGGAGGGTGCTAAATTGGGGAACAGATAATGGTGGCAGCTGAACAGTTTGATGATCATAAATAATGCCACTGAAAACTCTCCGTGTGGACACTGACATAGTGAATGTTTTGTCACCTATGCATTTACCACAATCACAACAAAAATGTAAAAAATGCATGTCTTTCAATATAACCAATCCACTTCTGAGAAGTGGAGCTGAGAAGATATTTAACTCTGTTCTCTTTTTGTGCAGGAAATTCTCCAGCAACTGGAGCGTGATCAGTAAAGTGTGCTAGCATCCCATGCCCCCATCCCCACCCCCGTGCGCAAAATCGTCCCCTAGGGGGTGCTAGAAGCAGATACCTACAGTGTATCCTGGATTATGGGCTACAGTACAATCGTTTTTAATTGCCACGGGGTGCTGAGTAATTTTTTCCCCCCTGGAAATAGGGTGGTAGGTCAAATAAGTTTGAGAACCGGTGCAGTAAAATCCTTAAATCAACACTGTAGATATATGAGTACTGGTATGTTAAAATGTTTGTGATTCATTGTTAAGCAAAGTAAATGCAGGTTTCAAAGCGATAGTAGGCAGTGATTCCATTTTGGCTTTAAAACATATTTATGTGTGATTGTATGAATATCATAAAAGAAATTTCTAAGGCAATACAGTAAGATTGGATTCACAAAGGTTGTTTCCCAAAAGTAGGATTATAATTATTTGTTATGTTCTACTTTTAGCTTCCATATTTTATGATTTTTTTTCCTTAAAGGAATCTGAACTGCTCTTGTTATACAAAAAATAATCATTGACAATTTTTTTTTAATTTTGAAGGATAAAAATCCTAACCACACCATGACTTACAAGTGATCTTCTGAAATACAAAACCTTCATAAATTGTTTAGGATCTATATCTTATTCCTAAGGCAACCCCAGTTGGGAATGAAAGAAAAATCCCCTTCCCCCTGAAGGGATAGGAAACAAACAGTCCAGTGGTACTCCCATCTTGGTAGCAGAACACTTGACAAGCAGGCCACAGTCTACCCACCCCTGTTGGCTCACCTTTTTTGCCGCAGTTCTTGGGAGAGATATTGCAGGTATAGAGAGGGTGGCCTGGGGGAGTGCTCCAGCAGGGCCGCATCTGCACTGCACTGGCTCCAGAGGAAGTCAGCTTCTCGATGAATCATGCGGGGCTCATGGGAAGGACCAGGTCTCGCCATGCTGCTCAACCCTTTCCCATCTATCTCTAGAAGGCTGCTGCCCTCCTGCTCTTTCTCTGGCACCACATAGCTCTGAATGAAAAAGACCTTCGGCTTCCCTAAGAGAGCAGGGCATTCATCTGCCATGAACACCCTCCTAATCTGATCCAAGGGCAACCCTGAATGCTTCCTATCCACACCAAACACACTCTGTGAGTTGCCTCGGCTCACCAGGATACACACAAAGCTGTCGTAGCTTTCATGTTCCGGCAGGCAGGCAACATCGTGAAGAGTCTGATGTATTTCGGCCACACAGAGACCGAAGTGGCTTTGGACTTTGTAGCCCAGGAACGTGAAGGTGTCCCAAAGAACCTCTGCAAATTAGAAAACAAGAATGCTGGAGTCAGAACAGCATGTGAGGAACTGGAAACCAGTTTCACTGTGGAAGCTCCACTGAAATCTGTCCACCAAGAGTGGCCCTGCTTGTATCTGAAAGACTGGCGGCTTAGCTTCCAGCAACAGAGCAACTCACCAGAACGCCAAGCTGGCAGACAGGTGCTGATCTAGAGCATCAGCCTCCTGGAAATCTGATCCAGTCCCAGCCTTCCTCCTCTACTCCACTTCGCTGCACTGGAAGAATAAACCCAACCTGCTGGATGGTGGTATATCTTTCTAGTAACCAAGAGACTTTTCCCCCTTCCTCATCCAAAACTTCCTTGTTCTTTTGGGTCACACATTACGTTTCTGTTTCTTGTCTGAAGCATGCCGCCTGTTCTCAGTCCATTGGCCAGGCAGAAACTGCTCAGGCCTAAGCTCAAAGAGTCAATAAACAAGCTTTTCCCAAATCAGGTTGCCAACCAACCCATTAGCCTATTTCACTGGATTGGATTCCATGTCTGATCATAAAGTGCCCACCTGCCTTCCAACCCAGAGGGTGGTCTTCCAGAACTCTAGAGTGCATTCACCCCAAGTCACATGACCAATAGTAATTACAACAGCTAAAACTTCCTCTGCGGGACAAAGCCCCCCTATCCATACCAGCTTAGGTATCAGGAAAGGGTCCAAAAGAGATACAAAACTGAAGGCACCATGTAACTGCTTGCCACATATCCTCAGTCCTCTACATGAAGTGGGGGCAATACAGAACACAGAGAGCCAGTCACAAATAATCCAAAGACTTCTACCAACAGCTTCAAACTTTCTGTCCAGTGGATTTTTTTGTCAACCACTATTAAAATGTAAAAGTGGCTCCTCAGCAGGAAATAGGAAAAAGAGAAAAGATGATAGGCAAAAAGCTGAATGATTCTGTGAATTTAATTCACCCAGTCTATAAACAGTATTTGTACATCGTTACCCAAGGCCGAGCAAAGCTTTCTGGTCAGGGAACTTGAGTTTAATTATGATCCCACCTCCTTCTAGATGTGGTGGTTTTAAAATATGTCCCATAAGTTCTTTGACAGTTCTCCCTTCAAAAAATGAAATCCTAAGTCCCCTGTTTTGGAATTTGGGCCAGACTTGGTCATTGCTTTCCAATGAATGGAATGTGGCAGAACAGTGTGTGGAAGAGTGACTTCCAAAACTAGGTCATACCAAGAACTCCTGCCCACCTCGTTCTCTCATGGAATCCCTCACTCTAAGGGAAGGCAGTTGTTATGTCATGAGAATAGTCAAGCAATCCTATGGAGAGTCCCCTATGAATTGGAACTGAAATCTCCCACCAATAGCCAGCATCAACTAACCCCGCCACAGGAGGGAACGCCCTTACAAGTGGATCCTTCAATATCAGTCAAGCCTTCACATGAACCCAGATGGGGCCAGAGCCAGAATAGCCCAGCCAAGCCACTCTTCAATTCTTGACCTTCAGAAATGATGAGAGCCACAAATACATGAGTATAGTTGACTTTATAGTGATGTGTACACATTAGTAGATAAACAATTCACCAATGAAATCCTTTGCCCTGACCTGTCAGTAAAACAGAAAGGACAGTGACTGTTTCCTACACCCGTAGTGTTCAGTGAAATAAAAATGGAGTCATCTGGTTGACAAAATGGTATCAGTAGTCATAGGACAATGCCCTGAAACAAGACTTACCATTACCAAAACTTACGCCTAGTTTTATTGCAATTCAGGCCATCCTCATTGACCAATGAGATTCTGACAATGCTTCCATTCTCATTGACCAATGAAATACTGACAGTATTTCAATAGTAAATTGCTTAAGCCAATCCAAAATAAGCTGCTTTGCTTCCATATTTTGTCAATTAAAAACCCGTCACTTTTTATCTTAACAAGGGAGGAACGATCCAGACGAGGATGAGAAGGGCTGCACAGCTCAAAGAAGAAGCCACTGTCCCTGAAGTGTGCACGCAGAAACGGCTGGCTGGGGACATTTTGCCGGGCCTGTGCTTAACAGCACCAGGAAATGAAATTGAGGGTGTAAAAAGAGCTGTCACTGCGGATCCTCATGGAGTGCTTTCCACCTGTGCTGTGTTGTTCTTGCTAGGTCCACCCAAGACCCATAGAAACCCTGTGCACAAGAGAGCAAAACAGTGCACAATCCTGTGCCATTCTCACAACTGTTCCTCCGCCTGAGCCCACGTGTCCATCATCTCATCCAGGGCCTTCCTCTTCCCCACCTTCCACTTTACCAACCGTGGTATCCTTCTCCGGGGACTGGTCTCTCCTTGCAACATGTTCAAAGTATGTACGACAAAGTCTTGCCCTCCTTGCCTCTAAGGTGCACTCTGGCCTTACTGCTTCCAACACAGATTGATTTATCCTTTTAACAGTTCATGGTACATTGAATATTTTTCTCCAGCATCACAATTCAAATCCATCATCAATTCTTCTACAGTCTTCCTTATTCAATGTCCAACATTCAAATGTATATGAGGCAATGAAGAATAACATGGTGTGGGTCAGGCGCACCTTAGTCCTCAAAGTAACATCCCTGCTCTTCAACACTCTAAAGAGGTCTGTGCAGCAGTTACCCAATGCAATAATACGTCGTCTTTTCATCTCGTGATTGCTGCTTCCATGAGCATTAATTGTGGATCCAAGCAAGATGCAACCCTTGACAACTTCAATCTTTTCTCCATTTGCCATCATGTTGTCTATTGGTCCAATTCTGAGGATTTGGGTCTGCTTTACACTGAGGTGTAATCCATACTGAAGGCTACAATTCTTGATCTTCATCAGCAAGTGCTTCAACTCCTCCTCACTTTCAGCAAGGAACATGTGTCTTCTGCATATTCCAGGTTGTTAATAAGTCTTCCTCCAATCCTGATGCCACATTCTTCTTCATATACTCCAGCTCCTTTCTTTAATTCAGCTTCTCTGATGATTTGTTCAGAGTACAGATCGAACAAGTGTGGTGAAAGGACACAACCCTGACACACACCTTTTCTGATTTTAAACCATACGGTATGCCCTTGTTCTGTTCACACACTGTCTCTTGAACCATGTACAAGTTCCTCATGAGTACAATGAAGTGTTCTGGGATTCCCATTCTTCTCAAGGTTATCCACAGTTTATTATGGTCCACACAGTCAAACGGCTCTGCACAGTCAATGAATCACAAGTAAACAGCTTTCTGATATTCTCTGTTTTAAGTCACGATCCATCTGACATCAGCAGTGATATCTCTTTTTTATTTTTTTGGATATCTCTTATGGTTTGGTCCTCCCAATTTACAAATTTTCTGCCTGAATAAGACATATCCAACAGATTAATTTTAATATTGACTCAGTTTCTTCAACAGAAGTTAGGCTATAATTACTTTCCTCTTCTGCCGGGTCCATAGTTAAGGGCAAAAAAAAATACATTTAAAGCATATATGCTGTAATAACGGAGATACAAAGAAGATGCCAAGGTCTTTAAAATACAATGATCAATAAGTATAATCGTCAAGAAAATGGGGATCATACTACACAGATTGATACTAACCCATTAAACAACTCATTGGCACATATCTGCCTGTGGTAGAAAATGCTTTCCATCACGGTCCCCAAGCCATCTCCTCTGAGCGCTTAAGCCAGGCTCCAGTACCTGGTCCCAGGCTCCAGATGAAACACAAGAAAGGACAATGAAAGAACTGACCCATTCCAAACACTTGCTGTGAGGTCTAAGATCGCTAACCATTCTCCCCTGCAGAGGGCAGAAGCAAACGGGCAAACGCCAAGCTCAGCTCTAGTTTTCCTGTTAGCACAGCTTGGTTTACTTTGCTCAAAAGCTCTCTTTATCCAAGTCTTTGGAAGAACACGATGACGTGGTCTCCCTTTCTGGAGGCAGGCAAGCGACAGAACAAATGCTGCCTTCCAGCTCCTCCTTTCCTTTGTCTGGGCCCCCAGAGCAGCCCCCGTTACACTGCCACGAGCAGGCAAAGCTAGACTGTCTTGCAAACAATCACAAGTTCTGAGAATCACTCCTGGCTCCTCTACTTTCTAGTAGGCCCTAAATCTGACTTTGCAAATGGTGAGTGTTTAATCAAATATAAGATGTTAATTTTAAAGAGAATAAAGGCAAAGTCAAGGCTGTTGAATTGATTCCGACTCACAGCAACATGTTAGGACAGAGTAAAACAGCCACAGGCCTTCCAAGGCTGTAGGTCTTTACAGCACAAATGGCCACGCCTTTCTCTCTTGGCGCAGTTGGCAGGTTGGAACCTCAGGTCTTCAGCTTCAGCAAAAGCCCTGAGCCCCAGAGCCACAAGGCTCTGTGCTCTTGGAGAGTAAGGCAGTGGTGCACCCAGTAATCACTCAATCTCTGTTGTATTTCTCATGGCAGCTCAGGACCTGGAGGAAGGTCTTTATATTGAAACTCAAATGGGCTCAGAGTAGACCCAGGCATCACCCAATGGCCTACCTACGCATATAAATAGGGGAGGAAAAATTGGAGTGCTGAGTTTGAAAAACACAATGAACCGCAGAAGCTCTACTTCTCTTTCTGACCACGCTGGAAATCCCACTTCCACCTCCTACCCCATTTCTAGAAGCCTCAACTCTTCCTTTAAACCCACTTTCTGAATTGCTGGGTGTTTTCTTTCAACCTTGCAGCATCTTTAACGGGGTTGGAGGCACTGAAGATAACAATTAAAAAATGGGCCAATGCCACAACTTCATTAATTTAGAATTTGCTTTATTCTGAAGAAGCAGTTGTACATTTATCATCACACTTTTCAAGGGAAGGGCTCTATTCAACAAAGTTCTACAGTCAGCAAGAAAGGGGGTATGCTTAGTTAGTCTATTGGCAATCACTTACTGACTGATTCAATGAGCCTGGTTCTAATTATTGTACCAACTGCACAGAGTGGAACACTCAGTCAGCAGGATATTCATGGTGGAACGGGAAGTTTGGAGGTAAAAAAGTGTGTGG